AGAAAGAAAGAAAGAAAGAAAGAAAGAAAGAAAGAAAGAAAGAAAGAAAGAAAGAAAGAAAGAAGGAAAGAAAAAGACCGATGTGTGCATTTTAAGTCAGAAATAAGCAAGATTTTGGGATAGTCGTGAGGTTTCCAGGATATGTCTTCATCACCCACCACTGTGGATGGGGCTTTCTTGACAGTGGAAGCACAAGTCAGACTACTTTCTACACCAAATGGCAATATCAAATACATAGCATCGATGAGGGGGCTGTTCTCTTCACGTCTGGGCTTCTATTATAGGGTTTTCACTGTTGCTTTTTCTTTTTTCTTTTTTTTTTTTTCTAAAAAAGAGTAACCTGAAGCAAAGCAGGATAGGGCTGATGAGTTCAGCCAGGATCAGCTCAATAAGAAATATGACTGTAGGCTTTGAAGGTTGAACTTTACGCGGAGGGCAAACTATCCAGGGAATGTGTACTTGTCCACATGTAACAGATGATTGCAGCATAGCCTGGAAGGGCCAAAGAGCATGCAGGTGAGGACACTGACAAGTCTATTACGTTAATCTAGGTGGGAAGTAACAGTGGCTCTGGTTAATAAAGCACCAACAGAATGGGAGGCAAATAAATATTCATTCTTAACAAAGGTGTGTTAGCTGATCACTATGTGGCAAGCACCACATTAGGACCTGGGGTCAACAATGAACAACTCAAAGAGCTTATATCTTAGTGGGGAGACACATGGAATAAAGAAATAATTAGAATACATGCTCATCGGTGATGAGTACTAAGGGGGAAAAAAGGTAAGACTATAGAGATGGGGAGGGATGGTATTTTATTTTATTTTATTTATTTATTTTTTTAGCTGAGCCATCTTGCCACCTGTTGGCAGCTCAGCTGCACCTCTGCTCAGGCCGGGGCTTGAATCACTGTTGCTCAGAGCTCACACTCTTCAGCAAGCTCTTCACCAACTGAGCCACTCGTCCGGCCCAAGGGATGGTATTTTATATGGTGTGGAAAAGGAAGACTTTCCGAAATACAGTCATTTTAACAGACCAAAATGAAGCTATTAATCAAGATTTTAGAATTTACACTTCAGATTGAAAGATACACACAGACTGAAAGTAAAGGGATGAAAAAAGATATTCCATGCAAATGAAAAAAAAAAGCTGGAATAGCAGTGCTTATATCAGACAAACTAGACTTTAAAACAAAGGCTGTAACAAGTGACAAAGAAGAACCCAGCAATTTATCTGAAGAAACCCAAAACACTAATTGAAAAGACAGAGCACATTATCACTTTGTGAGGAGTGTAAATGTCTAAATATTACATTGTTTTGTACACCTGAAACTAATAATAAAAAAAGACATATGCACCCCTACATTCCATGCAGCATTATTTACAATAGCCAAATATGGATGCAACCTAAGTGCCCATCAACAGACGAATGGATAAAGAAGATGTGGTACATCTATACTAAGCCATAAAAAGAGTGAATTTTGCCATTTGTGACAACATGGATGGACCTAGAGGGTATTATGCTAAATGAAATAAGTCAGACAGAGAAAGACAAATGCCATATGATTTCACTTATATGTGGAATCAAAAAAAAAACAAAATAAACAAACAAAACAGAAACAAATTCATAGACACAGAGAACATTTGATGGTTACCAGATGGGAGGGCAGATGGGGTGGTGGGTGAAAAGGGGAAGGGACTAAGATGTGCAAATCGCCAGTTATAAAAACAGCCACAGAGGGCCAGCCGAGTGGCATGTTGGTTAGGAGTTGGCTTGGGATGCCAGTTCTGAGCAGCAGGGCCCCTGTTCGGATCCCACATGAGGGCCGTGACGCTGCGCCCTCTACAGCTAAGATGGTGAACAACAGCTTGACCTGGAGCTGGGCTGCCATGAGTCGCCAGCGACAGCATTGGCTGCAGTGGGGCTGGCTGGCAAAGGGCGTGAGCTTTCGTGAGCTGCTGTGAGCCGCCGTGAGTGGCCAGCTAATGGCCGGCGAGTGACTGTCTTACCCACGAAGAGCGCAATGGTAATACCAATGTGGGCCAGTGAAGCAACGTCCTCCACAACTAGACTGAAGAACAAAGGGAGAACAACTTGTCTGTTCCCATTCCCTGATTCCCCAATGCTGTTCCCCTCCCCCAATTCCCCAATAAAATTAAAAAAAAACCACAAAAAACAGCCACAGAGATGTAAAGTACAGCATAGGGAATATAGTCAATGATACTCTAATAACTATGTATGGTGTCAAACGGGTACTAGACTTATTGGGTGATCACTTTGTAAGTTTTATAAATGCCTAATCACTATGTTGTACCCTGAAACTATTATAATATTGTATGTCAACTGTAACTGAAAAAAAAAATCTAAATAAATGTTGTGGGATTTAGACAAAGGAAATTTGTGAGGGCCCTGGGGAAGTGGGATAGGAAAAACATAACATGTGAAACGTCAGAATCATGCTCACATTTGGATGAGGAGTTGGTTCTATTTATTTAATAAAATAAATATGGGGCAGTTTAGGTTATGGGGGTAAGGTGTTCAATTTTGAACATACTGAGTTAGAGGTATCTATGGTTTTCTCTGCAGTACAAGCATTCATGGATTTAGAGAAAAGATTTAAGGCTAGGGAGACATATCACAGCTGAAATATGGGACTTCTCATATAGTTTTGGGGAAAACTGTGAAATTTCAAGTACCTGAGAAAGCCTAGAAACTCTACATAATTCAAAGCATAGATTTATCAGGGTAACAGAAAGGGGGGGGGATTGGAGGTCATGATGAAAAAGGTGAAGAGATTAAGAAATACAAATTGGTAGTTACAAAATAGTCTTGGGGATGTAAAGTAAAGCACAGGGAATATAGTCAATGATATGGTAATAACTATGTATAGTGCCAGGTGGGTACTAGACTAGTCAGGGGATCATTTCTTAAATTGTATAAATGTCTGTATGCCTGAAATTAATATAAAACAATATTTAGAAAATTTTAAAAAGTATAGAGATCCTAGGGAATTGCATGCATTTTTGAGGCAGATAGGACACGAGGATAAAGGGAGTTTTAGAAGGATGCACCTAAATAATAGTGGAAAGTCAGGATCGTGTTGTCCAAGAGGCCAATGAAAAGTTGACTTTCAGAAAGCCACAAATTAGGAGAGTGGAGGAGAAGCATACGAGTGCTCTGTGTTAGGCCCTGGAGATGCAGAGCATAGCTGGGATGGTTTATGATGGGGCAACCTGAAAGGCTGGCTGGGGTCCTGCTGCTTTGTGAGAGTGTGTGGAATTAAAATGTTGGGGTTCCAGAGGTGATTGAACCTTATACCCACAGGTTAGTGAGACGTAGTGATATCAGGTTGGGTGTCAGATGAGTTCTGGTAAAGGTCTCTGACATCCCCCAGCTGCCATATGTGACATTCACTCACCTTTTCCTTGGATGAACCATTCAAAATATTGTTCCAGTGATTCTGGTTTCTTAACAAAATTGGAAGTAATCCAGAAAAAATAGCCAGACACAAGAATATCTCTAGGGTTTCTGATGATATAAATCACCTTAAAGAGAAAAATGAGGTAATACTAAGAATATAACAATTGAAGAGGCAAGCATTGAACCTCCCCTCTGGAATATTATAGTCTACTCACAATGGGAAGCAACCAGAAAGTTTTAAAAGGTGAGTGGTATTATATTTATGTACTATAGTTTAAAGATTACTAATGGGAAAAGGGATTATTCACAGATACACAGCGGACGTTTGTATGGCATGAGTCTATTTATATGATATTCAAGAACAAGCAAAACTAACCTACAGAGTTTGAAGGCAGTGCAATGGTCACCTCTGTGGATAGGCATTGACTGGGGAGGCCCATGAGGGGATTTTCTGGGGGAGTGGAAGTGTTGTAAATCTGGATCTGGAAGGTAGTTACCCAGTCATGTACATATGTAAAGATTCGACAAGCTAATACTCCAGATTAGTGCAAACACACAGACACACACGTGCGAGAACACTTGGCATTTGAACATCTGAATAATATTCTGGATTCTGCACTAACTTCTTTTTCTTTGCAACGTGATCTCAGTTCCCAACTCTCTCTAGGCCTCAGTTTCCCCATGCAGGGATTTAACACCGAGAAGACACATGTAAATACATGTATTATAAATAAGCTTGGGAAGTGATGGGTTAAAAAACAACAACCAACTTCATGTGCCATGACGCCTTGTGAAATTTCCCAGAGAGGAGAATATTATTCTAAGCTTTACAATCTAATTTCAGCATAAAACATTAAAAAAAAAAACCCTCACAAACCAATTAGCACCTTCCAGGACAGTATGTTTCTAAAAATGATCTGAAATATGCTAGGTCCTGGATATCCATGGTCCCTTCTGGTGATTATCTGTCAGCCCCATGAGAGATTCGTGTGGCGGCTAAGCTCAATAGACAGCTATACAGAGAAAGACATAGTGGTTAGTAAAACCAGCCATGCTGCCAGAGCAATCGCTGGCATGGATTTATGAATTTGCTGCTTTCCAAATGGCCAACTCTATGTCTGGTGCTTCTACCTAAGTGGAAGGAGGCATTCATTTCATTAAGATTGGCTAATTATTTTCTAGAGCAACAAAAGGGGGTTATCTAGTATATAACACATAGTTATAATTTCAGCTTGGATTGAAAACGGTTTTCGAAGAGCTGGCATTACCTCTGGTTTACGCCTGGCTCGTATAATCTGTGCAATGATCTACGCCCTTGTATTCAGGTGTGGACCAGATCATCATCAAATGCAGGATGTCAGGCCCCATCCCAGATCTACTCAATGAGACTGCATCTCAACCAGATCTCCAGGGGATTCCTAGGCACATTAAAGTTTGAAAAGCATTGTTCAAACATATCTTGACCATCGTGCACTGACCTTGGCCTTGGACTTGAAGAGAGACTTGGGGAAGAGGTGGATGGGGACATGAGAGGTCATGAAGCGTGGCCCTTCCTTATCCTTTAGGGTTTTATATCCATACATAGTCTCCAACCAGGGTGAGCGTTCCCAGATGGGGACAGATTGGATCCACTTGGGATCCCCCTTGGAGTAAATCAGGGAGAGAATTTCAATCAACCAGTTTGTTCCTGGATAAAGAAGGAAAAAGGATGGTCGCTCATTTTTTAATCTGACATTTTAAAATATTGTGATAAAATATAAAATATACCTTCTTAACCATTTTCAAGTGTATAGTTCAGTAGTAGTGTTAAGTATATTCTCATTGTCATGCAACCAACCTCCAGGACTTTTTCATCTTGTGACACTGAAATTCTGTACCCATTAAACAAGCTCTCCACTTCCCCACCCCCCCACCCCACCCTCACCACCCCATCCCTGGCAACCACCACTCTACTTTCTGTTTTAGAGTTTGATTACTCTAGATTCCTCATTTAGGTGGAATCATACAGTGTATGTCCTTCTGTAACTGGCTAACTTCATTGAGCATAATGTCTTCACAGTTTATCCATGTGGTAGCATGTGTCCGGACTTCCTTCCTTTTTAAGGCTGAATAATATTCCACTATCTGTGTAGACTATATTTTGGTTATCCAGTCATCAGTCAGTGGACATTTGGATTGCCTACACCTTTCGGCTATTTGCCTAAATCCTTGTGACATGTTCCCATCGCCCTTGGCTTTTCACTACCTCGCCACTTCCAATGCCTCCAGCCTTAGTCCTTGCCCAATTTGCAGTCCCTCTCCTCCCCCTCCCCCCACAGAAATATGATCCACATCCCGTCATAAAATCCCTTGAATCTTCCAGGCTTTTTCCAATTCCTGCCCATTGTCCATGTTGATACCTTTACCTGAAAATATTCCTTTTGCACTAAATAATTTCATAGTCATTCTTTTCATCTCAGGTTATATTCTATTTCTTCTACTTTTTTTTTTTTTTGGCTATGACACTTGTGTTTTGTTCATTGCCCCCAGTTTCATTGAGATACAACTAACAAATCAAAATTGTATGTATTTAAGACGCATGAGATGATTTGATATATATGTGTGTACATTGTGAAATGATTACCACAATCAAGCTAATTAACAGATCCATCATCTCACATAATCACCTGTTGTTGTTTTTTTTCTATTTCTATTTCTTCCATAAGGACCTCACTGGTCATTGTCCTCCATTTCTCCATACCAGCACCCAAATCTGCTCCTATGGGTTCCCCAATACCTTTAACTACCCCCTCTGAACATCCATCTTACTGTGTAACTGCTTGGCTAAATCCTTTCCTCTGAAAGTACATGGTATTAGGGCACAGCTCTGTTCCCCCAAAGCATTACATGCTGTCTGGCATATAGAAAGCACTCCATTCGTCTACTGAATGGATAAGGGACACAGCTGAAGTCTGTCTCAGCTGTCTTACCTGATTTGGGGAAAGACAATATTAAGACATCTTCATCCTTAAACACAAAATTCTCCTGCACTTCTCTCATGTGTTCAGGTGTGAAATCCACAACAGGAAAAGGGATTCCTTCAAACCACACATACCCATCTGACATTATGGTGAGGTCTTTGCACTTGGTGTTAAGAGTTTCAGCTGTAGTCACTGTTGGAATCTGTGGCAGCTGCTGGGAGATAAGCTTTTATAGTAAAGATAAAACAATCATTAATCTCCCGTAGTTTGTGGAGGAGTTTACCTGCTGATAAAGAGAAGCAGATATTGTAACTAGTAAATGATCACAAGGTTGATAATATTGAGCAACCATGAAGTCATTCAGAGAACATTTTGGGGTAATCTGAGTTTGAATTCATCGGAGGGAACCAGGAATTCAATAACAAGCCCAACGATGTAGAAATGTGGGTGAATTAAAAAATATTTTTCATAAGCTTGATTTTTTTAGAACAGTTTTAGGTGTGTAGAAAAATTGCAAAGATAGTATAACAAGTTCCCATAGTTCCTACTTTTTTCAGATTTCCCTAGTTTATATCTAATGTCACTTTTCTGTTCCAGATCCCATCCAGGAGACCACACACATTGCGACATCATGTCTCCTCTTGGCTGTGACAGTTTCTCAGACTTCCCTGGTTTTTTATGACCGTCACAGTTTTCAGAAGTCCTGGTCAGGTATTTTGGAGAAGTCCCTCTGTTGGGGTTTGTCTGATGTTTTTTGTATCATGATTAGACTGAGTTTATGGCTTTTTTTTGGGGGGGGGAAGATTACAGAGGTAAAATATTATACCATTATCATCATAATATTTCAAGGGTACTTATTATCAACATGACATATCACTGTTGATGTTGACCTTGATCGGCTGGCTGAGGTAATGTTTGTCAGATTTCTCTGCTATAAATTTACTCTCTTCCCTCCTCCCGTTTTCTATGTGGACATATTTAAAACATGAACCCTAGGCCTGAATGTATTCATAAGAACACATTGTATAAACTCCAACTGAGAGATATTCTACAAAATGATTCTCTGGTACTATTCAAATTGTCATGAAAAAAAAAAAAGAAGAAGAGCAGAGGGTATGTTCCAGATTAAAGGAACATGTACACTAAATCCTAGATTAGATCTTAGACCACAAAAAAGTGCTATCATTATATTATTGGGACAATTGGCCACATTGAATATACAACGTCTATTAGATATGGTATTGCATCAAGGCTAAATTCCCCAATTTTTATAATTTTACTGTGGATATACAGGAAATGTCTTTGTTCTTAGAGAATATATACTGAAGTTTTGAGGGATATAGGGGAATGGTATCTGCAATTTACTCTTAAGTGGTTAAGAAAGAAGTTAATATTATATATGAGAGAGAAAATGATTTAGCAGATATTGCAAAATTTTACCATTGGTGAATCTGTGTAAATTGCATATAAGAATTCTTTGTGGATTTCTTGCAAAATTTCTCTAACTTTGAAGGTAATTCAAAATAAAAGTTAAAACTAAATAGGCACAGTGACAATAACAAGCTGGAAGGAAATTGAGAAAGCATGGAATGCAATCTCTCTTTCTGAGCACATAGGTCAAAAACTTGTTTTATACTCACAGATGTGGGGTTGAATTTATATTAAACTATAACTGGGCTATAGTATCCAATTCTTGTTTGCCATTTAAACATTAACATACTGAAAATTTATTAAATGCTTTCAGGTTTTAGGCCTGGGCTAAAACACTTCTCATATCCACCACATTCAAAATCCATAA